CTAGGGGAATGAGAAGAGAGGGAAGCTTTCATTATTATAGTCATAAAACTAACATTAGGTAATTCACAGTGATTTTAAATATTGTGAGCTGCTGGTCACCTCATGGAGCCTATTGCAGCAGAATTAGGCTGGGTTGTTATTTATTGCAGGAGAAAAAGGGAATTTACCCATGTTTTTATGACATGCTGGATACTCCACTTACACAACTGTCTAAGGGCAAACACTTTAACCCCTTGAGATCTGCTAATCAGGAGCACCAGCTGCTAAGTGCCAGCATGCATCCAGCATTCATGCCTGCGGGGAGAAAAAGGGCTGCAAAGGATATGACCCTAAACTTCAGAAACCTCTTCTCTCCTTGGGGGCAAAATATCATTCAGCTTGCATCTTCTCCTGTTTTCTTTTAGTTTATCCAGTTAATGTTCCTGATGTGGGTTGTTGTGCACTCACTGTGAATGCTTCAAGCCTTTAGGAAGATGATAGTTAATTACTGAAGTTAAAATCTGGCTTGCACTGGTGGGGAAGTGCTTTCAGAGGTATTTACTCAGCCAGCTCACTGAACTGCTAGGGGCAGGGGGAGGCTGGCAGTATCTGGCTCACAGTGTATTGCTGCAAATGTATGTTCTGTTAAAAAAAAATAGCACATTGCACAGTCATTTTTCACAATTCTGTTGGTACAATATTAGCTCAGTCTCACACTAAGTTACATTTGTATGTTCATTTAAAACAAGCAATGAAATCCATTGTGAAAAAGCCTGTCACATACACAACCCAAATTTATTCCCTGCAAAGTAAGATACAGTCAAAAGGTGAAAAGGCAGTTCTTTACTGGTTTTATCCCTCTCTTTAACTTCTGAAACCAGTGGCAGATACATATATATTGGTGGGAAGAAAAGACTAAAAATACTGTATTTTTGACATATTTTGTTTTCTTTTCCAAATGTAACTTGCTCTCCAGCCTAGTATTTTTAACCCTTCCTGTAGATTGTTGTATGCCAATAAATTGACATCTGCATCTATTATTGGACTTAATAGTTTAGAAGCCTAAGCAAAACACTTCCAATAATTGTATATCCTTGAAATCAGTAGATCAAGCTTGTCTAGCTTTTGCTCTGAACCACTACATCAAATTTAGTTTGTGTGGGCTTTCCAGATAAACAATGCTTCAATGCCTTAGCAGTGTGTGGATATTTTGCAGCCATCTCAGTAAGAGCATGATTTGACCCTAATGTCCTTAGATACAATAGTCCTCTTTCCCGATGTCATGTAGCATATGCTGTAATTTTTGCCACCTGAACTGGCTCAAAAACATAAATAAATTGTTATTGGGTACTGTAGAATGTAATGCCATATTGTCATACTCCCAGATGAAAGAGAAAGCCTCAGCATGGCAAAGAAAGTGTTGAATTTGTGTCAGATTTCAGCAAAATAATTCCAAAGAGAGTTGAAAGTTCATGCTGCCCTTAAACACTGAGCTCTTCTCACCTGTGAAGGCAGGTTGGGTTCAGACCTCCCTTTGTGCCTTGAAAATCTCTTTCTTTGTCTGTGTCTGTCACCAGAAAACTTTTTACAGACTATTGCACATGCCAGTGGTAGTGAGCTGAATTTACATAATCCAGCAGCGGAGTATCCTAAGCTTGAATAGAAAAAAGCCCTCATCACAAAATGAGGTTTAATAGAGGACTAGCAATATATATTTAAACACATTTGTTTTCGTCACAACAAGGGAATAGATGCAGAACATGTGGATGCAGAGGAGGAAGAGAGGCTTACTCATGTAGAGAGAGAACAAGTCATGCTGGCTTTTTCCTATGCCATTGATTTCATCTCCTGTCCTGTGAATTTTCTTGTTCCAAGATGTTTTTCTTCTGAAACAGCGTCCTGTCTTTGCAGCACTAAGTTTCATTGATCAGTCTCTCCAGGCACTTACGTATTTCCCATCACTGTAGTATTCAAGGCATTCAGAGGTGGAAAAAATGGTGTAGCAAACCAATCCCTGTCTCTGCTTTGGATTGTCTCTAAGCCAATGGCATCTCAACAAGACACTCGATTTGCTCTGCTTTTCCTTAAAATTACCTATGGCTGAGGACATCTGAAATGCTTTTGGGTGACCTGCTGGTCACAACACATGGACTAGGGGCACTAGTGAGTAAAAACTGATGTTTTAGGGACTTTACTGACAAAACGCTTTAGAACAAGCTTCCCATTAAGCACACCAGCCCACTAGGACTGTTCTTATGTTCCAGTGCACGCATATGCTTTGGTGTTTTGCTAAATCAGGATTTTTTAATCAAGTGTTGTTCGTACTATTAGTCATGTCATTCCCTTAATGATGATAAAAAAGCAAACATCAGTTCACTAGTAAATGCTGCAATCTGCATCACAGAAATGGAGGAATTAACTCTTTCAAAGGTAAACACAAAAGCCTGTCTGGCCATTAAAGAGCATAACTCTGTCTTGTCATAAACCTTTTCTCTTTTTGTCCTGAGGGAAGAGTATTTTCAAATAAAGATCATCCCTCAGTGGTGGGAGGACATACATGTTCCAGTCATGGGTACTTGAGCTGCCAGCTGCAGTGGGAGGATCTCTGGGTTCATGCTTGCAGCATACACCTGGGAAGCTCAGAACTGTGGATAGCCTTGTCCATGGATTGCAGTGTCATAAATATTTCTCGTATCTTACTTTCTGAAAGGAGGATTGCTCTTACTTTGAACCAAGATGCTACTGGAAAGTTTTATTTCCTGGTAATCAAATGAGGCTATGAGTGAGGCTGTAAAGCATGTGCAGCACTCACACAGCTCTGCTTCCATTCACAGCTGTGGTGGAACAGGAAAATCCCCTGTAATTGCACATGTGTGTGTGAGAGTAATCACTGAAGAGAGTTACTGTGTTACACCAGTGTTAGGGTTTGTGAAGAGGGTACCTTTAGTGATGCTTTCCAGATGAATTGCCACTGCAAAACCTGAAACAGATTTAAGGTTTAATTACTGTCACTGTTATCAGACTTTACAGTGTATCTAAGTATTGCTTTGCTCTGTTGTAAGGAGATTTGGGAGTTTTTAATTTTAAAATAAAACCTTCTATTTTTTTTTTTCCAAGCTCATCCGTGTAAATCATGGGGAGGGGTGGGGAGCAAAAGGCATGCAATGTCCCAGCCCGTGGTAATTAGCAAAACTGTCTGTAAGATACCACTTCTAAGTTTTCACTATTCTATTTACTGAAAGAATTCATTCCATTTCTGATACAGCTGAAGAACATATTTTCATTTATTTGAAGAACATATTCCAAATTATACTTGTAGAGTTGATGCTATTTTTAAATATAATTTAATATTTTTATCAAGGAAACCTAATGAAATCATTCACTATTTATTACTTTTCTGAATTTTTTGAAAGATGGTGCTGAGCTATAAAGTTGAGTTGGGTGAATGAGGAGGTGCATGATGTTTGCATTGATGTGAGCCCAACTACAGGTAGACAAGTCCTTAAATTGCAAGAGTTGTAGGAAGAGTGATAAGTGTTGGGTCCAGTTCTGCAAATCCAGTTCTGGGAATTCAACAAGTATGTGTCCTAGACGAGTACAAGTTCCATTGCAGCAGCAATGCTCTAGGTGCATGGCCCACAAGTTGGCCACTGAGACCCCTGTGAATATTTGGGAATATTTAAATGCCTCCAGAACGAAGTCTGAAATTGTTAGAGGATGGCTCAGGAAATTTGTAGGACCAGGCAGCAGGAAGCAGTTGACAAGTCTTCTTCAGAGCACACCATTGAGTATCCCTTGAAACAGAGCAGATTCCAAAATTGTGGCCAATCCCTGCCCTTGATAAACCATCCAATGACAAAAGTGAATGTACAAAAAAAAGGAGAGACCTGAGGTCAGCACGTTTCCAAGCTCCTGTAGCTATGGGCCCACAATAGCCCTAGGAGAATGAACAGCCACCCAGGGCAGTAGGGCACAGTGGAGCAGGGATGGGGTGGTTACACTGGCATTAGGGTGACCCCCTGCCCATCTGCCTGGTGCCTTGGTACTGTGACATGTTCTTGCAAGATGCAGAAGGGAGCAGATACAAGAAGGCCAAATTCTGCATGTGAACTTTTCACCTCAAAGGATTTCCAGCCAGGCTTCTATTCTTGAAGCTCATACAGGAAGGACCAAAATCCTGATTCCCCCTCAATCCCTTCATAAAACATCAGATTAGGCGCTTAAGGAGAATGAGGAGGGTGGTCTTGAAATATCAGTCACTGGAGGAAATTGAGGAGGAAATCAGCAACTCCCTGTCCCCTTCCTTTCTCTAATCTTTGTGGATTATAAGAAAGGGAAGAGGTTCAAGGACTTGCTTTGATCTCCATAGTTCAAGTGTTGAAAGGAAGCTCCTCCATGTCCATGGGGCAGGGAGGCAGTCCCAGCCAGGCTGTCTGTGCCTGCTTCACGTGCCCTGGTGCTACCCATGGCTCCAGGGCAGCCGTGTCCAGACACCCAGAGTAGAACCTAAACAAAATGCCATAGACTGGCCAGGTGAAACAGTGACCACACAGCAAGGTGGTCTGACAGGTCCTGAACTAGGAAGTCACAGACAGGTTTTCTGGATGTCAGCTGCAGGTTACAAAAGGTCACCTAAATCTTGTTTTTACAGCATTAATCTTTGTGTGGTTCAGGTCCTTAATTCAGTGCATACTCTTAGAAGTGACAAAGGGATGCTCAGTAGCATTGCCATGACAGACCCTCAGGTTCCACAAAATATATTCTGCTCTGGTGCAGAGACATTTTTAAGAATTTGTTTTTCTCTGGCTTCTCTTGAATTAATGTTAGTAAAAGGTGCCCCAACCTCTTATTTTTCTATATGAAGACAAAAATTGCAGCTGCCTGCCAAGTCTGCTGAGAGATGGATGCAATAATTTTCAATTGGACTGTTAGCCCAAAGGGAACCCGATAGCAAGAGATTGACAGATGCAGCATGGATTATCTTGTGCTCTGAACTCAGCCCAATTTGTGGTTTGTTGCAGGTGCTAAAGAGATTGATATTGCTGCTACCCTGGAGCACTTGAGGGACCAGAGACCAGGCATGGTCCAGACAAAGGTACTGTCAATAAATCCACTGGGATTTTAAATACATTAAAGGTCTTTCACAGTAGTTGTTTTCATGACAGAAGAGAAAGGGTATGACCTAATTTAACACAGGTCGCTTGCTGATTACTCTGTTTGGCTCCCTACCAACTGAGGTTTATTTATGTTGGAGATTTATCTGGGTTACTTTCTTTGGTGTTTACTGTTCTTTCTTGTAACATCTCCAGCATCTATCTTGATTACCATATATGAAGGGCAGTCAAGACAACAATCTATAGCCTGCTAAAGAAAATGTGCGTTTGAAAGAATGTTCTTGCTTTCAGCCTGAACTATGGATTATTTTCTTAGAGTATCTGTGCTTAACTGTGCATGTAATATTTTTAAGCTTCTACTCATTAAAGAGAATGTAACTGCTGCATTTGATATTTTTTTCTGAAAAAAATAACTCAGAAGTTTTGAATTAAAGGAAATAAAGTTTTACAGGGAATCAAGTAATTTTTAGTATCTTTGAATGGAGGAGCTTGCATCAGCCTTTATGGATGTAACATGGTAACTATATTTTTACACTTTGGTGAGATGAATGCCTAACTCTCAAATTCCTGTCAGTTGTAATAGTTTTGACATTTTTTCTACAGTGTAAAACTTCTAAACATAGTAGCTGATGGTGCAATTCTAGTCTCTTAAATAAGAAATGAAACTTTCTGTTATTAACAATTCCAGTGATGTATGGAATGATATTGTGGGATATGTGCTGCAAGTTAAGAGCTGCAAATATGACAGTAAAAAAACTCTTTCATGGTATGAAGGTGAAATAAATCTGTTTATGGCCTTATAAAATGTCAAATGATAGTTATAGTCCCAAACTGAGTAACAAGAGCAATGGGACAGCACTCTGTCTTGGCCAGGCTGGAACTGATAGGGAATTCTGCAGTGTTTAGGGAGTTGAAATTGCTGAGGGGCAAAGGTGAAATAAATGTGTGTTGCAGAAATCATTGGTTCATAATTTTTCCTGAATCTCTTCCCGATTATTTTATTTCCCACTAATACTAGGGCAAAATACTGCTGAAGAACAGCTTGGGGAATGTTAATTATTATTACCAATTAAGTAAGTGCATGAAAAATAAAGATGAGCCAGTCAAAACTTAACTAATCTTTATCTGCAAGGAAGACATAAAATTGCACAAGTCTTTCTTCTGCTTTGATTGTTCCAACTGGAACAAAAGGCAAATAGCACACAGTATCCAATGTCATATATATTTACTCTGAGGTAAGATGCAAATACTGGACTACTCTGCAAATGCATTCAAAATATGTCGCAGCTCTGTGGCAACAGAGAGCTCAGATTCCAGTTTTCTTTTCAGGGCAGAGAAATTATGGCTTATTGCCTTCAACAGAAGGAAAAACATCGCTCCAGAACCAAAGAATGAGGTTATGTGAACAACTTCTCCTACTTAGCTCAGCAATAGTTACCTGAGTGCCATGAAAACCTCCCTCAAGACATGGTTTTTCCCTCCAAACATTTGTCTGGAAGAGCTCCAGAAAACAAATGTATCCTGTGTTTTCATCCAGGATGAAAAATTTTCTCAGGATATTGCTTATCTCTCCTCTTGCTCCTTCTTCCATCATTGTCATTTTCTCAAAACCACCCAAATAACTTATTCAAGCTAATGTCTTGCAAATTATAAATATCTGGTTACATGCTAGCAATGCATGATCCCCAGAGAATTTTTCTGATGGATTTAAACAAACCCCTGTGCTTTCCCAACTGAATACAAATGAGGAGTATTAGACTCTTGGAGTAATTTAAAACGATGGATTAAAAGTCAGGTTAGAAATGCCAATTACAGAATATCCCTAGGCAAAATAAACACCAACTTCCTTCAGCAATGTTATTTTGTTTCCAGCAGGCAGCGCTCCACCTTTCCAATAGGCATGGGAAAGATTTGTTTGCAGCATTTTGTCTTCTGGAAAGGATCTTTAATTCAGAAGCACTGTATATAATAAATTGTAATGAAATTATCATAACGACATTCTGTATTTCTGAGAAGCATAATAGAGGGTTTGTGGGTTTGTTGGGTTTCTTCTTTTTTTTTTTTTTTTTTGGTAGGGAAATTGTAAAATAGAATTGATATGTCACATATGAGAGGAAAAAGTAATGAAGGAGGAAGTGTATTCTCTGTGATGGGAATTTTTTTTTTCCTGTCTCCTATATCCTCTCACAATCTATAATAGTAGATAGATTCCTTACTGTGTTATATATGCTACATGAACTCACTTTGTTTTTCTGGGAATTTTTATCTATAGACTTAATGAAACATAGCCATAGTTATTTTTATTAAGTATATTCTTGTCACCTCTGCATTATAGGTGAACTGACACCACAGAATGTCTGTCCAGCTCTGTTTTCTAGGCAAAGCTAGATGTTAAAATTCATCTCCAGGCAGTCTTGTATATGCAAATAGAATATGTGAATGGCAGTGTAGCTGTACAAAACAACAAACTGATCTCCTTTAAAAATTACTGACATTAATTTGCTCTAACTGCAATTGTCCTCGTGGAAAAGTGTGGAAGGTGTGGAAGGTGTGGAAGGCTTTTCCTGGGAGGGTGGTGATGCACATCAGTGGAAGCTGCACTCCCTGCCTTTCGCCTGGGTGTGTTATGCAGAAGGATGGAGGGGGAAGAGCTCAGCTGGCCATGGACAGGCCATGTCCCCACACATCTCGTGTCTGCTCTGCTGTCCCTTTACTGCAGTCAGTTCTGAGCTCTGGCTGTGCAGATTATGCTCTGTGAATTGTTTTGCCTCAGTCACTAAGGTCTCACTGCCTGTTGCTCAGTCCCTGGGCGAGGCAGACACTCTTTCTCAGGCTTTTTGAGCTGGTACAAGCACCCAGTTTAGTTCTGCCCCAAAATGACCCATATTTGTCCTCTCTGACCCTGCTGCTCTTCAGCTCCTCACATACTCATTGTGCTCCAGTTAAAATACAACTGATGCTCCTGGATGGCCCCCAGTATTCCCAGTGTTTCCTTTAATTGCAGACAGTGCAGGGAGCCTTAGGAAGTCATGCACACTATTTTCAGTGCCTACTGAGGATGAGTCCTACTCTTTAGGGTGAATTGATGTCTGATTAAAAGCTGTTGGCTGCAGTCCAGCAAGTGTACATGGATGCCACTTTGACAGCACCAAGCAGACAGCAAAATTCTTGAATGGCAGTGTCACTGAGAAATTATTCTGAGTTTTATTCTGCTTTTTCTGCTCTGGCACTGTGCCCATCATTGCTTCTCTGAAGCATCTCCACATGGGAGCTGACTGCAGTTGGGTGAGACAAGGCAGAGAAGGCTGGCACTGGATTGCAGAAATTAAGAGTCAGCTGCCTTTCTGAACTATGAGTTGTACATCTGTATTTTGTTCTTTCACCCTTCCTGTACATTTCTGCAGTAAAATGAAACACTGTGGAAAATTAATGTTATTGGTTCAGTGATCACTTTTGGGGGTGGCTGTGTTCTGTAACCACCCCACACAGCCCCTGGCAGCACCAACTGAGATGCCAGAGGTACAGACCTTCAGACACAGGCAATATCCCAGCAGTGATCTTGGGATGCTTTGCAGGGTGCATCTCAAACCTACATCCTCAGAGTCGGTTCCTCAGCAGCTCTTGACCCCAGCTGGCTTAAACCTCTGGAGTACTTCCAAAAAATCCAGGAATTTCTCCACAGTCCTTATCTGGTGTCTTTGATTTGCCTATATTTTGAGAAAACTTTCCACTGGAAAGTCTCAAACTCCAAATCACCCAGGCAGTTATTTCAGTAAGCTAAATTACTGAGAAAAAAATTACTTGCTTGGAAAATATAACACCTGTTAACCTTGAGAATTTAAAACTGCTTTGTCCTTCTGTAGGACTACACAGTTCAGGAGTGTGTTAGGGTTGCACTTAGAAGAAGTAGCCATTCACAGCTGTGTCCTTCACACCTCTGCCAACCCAGCACAGAAGCTGGTAGATCATTTTGGTGTTGAGGTTACAGTAAATTAATAGCAGAGAAAAGCCTTCCCAAGTATTTCTTATATAGGAGTGGTCTTAACAAAATTGAGTAATTTGTGAGTGTGGAAAGGACATTAAAAAGAGAGGTTTAAAAAGATCAATGACAGGTAAGCCAAAACCCAGATATTGTTCTATATAATAGATATCAGGGGAAGAGATATTTATTTTAGATTCTTTCAACTAGAAACAGTCCTGAAAAAAGCCAAAGTCTCTGCTTTACAGCCTCTCACTTTCTTCATATTTCAATAATGTATTGAGTTCCCATCTCTGTGGCAGAAGGAAATGGCTGGTGATCAGCTACTCCCAAACCCTTCTGACCATGCAATGGCAATATATCATCCTGTCCCAATAGCTTGGGTTCTGCTACTAACATTTTTCTCCATTAAAATGACTCCGGCTTTGAGATGCTGTCAAACATGTTATATGACATCAATAATCCCAGAACATTTTGTTCCTTTCCATTGCAGTGTACAGTTCATCCTGCATATTCATATTTTTAACAATGTCTTGAGGACGTTCAGCCGCGGAATAGAGCGCCAGGCTTTGTGGAAAGTGTTTTGTTTTCTTATTCAGGGTGTGCATTTGTTCTCTCCACAGGAGCAGTTTGAGTTTGCTTTGACAGCGGTGGCAGAGGAAGTGAATGCAATACTCAAGGCCCTTCCCCAGTGAGCAGCTCAGTCTCCTGAAGGTTCCTGCAGAATCCATCCCTCGTTTTCCTCATCCTCAGTCCCTGTGAATGTTCTTGGAAATCGTGACCTGACCTTAACTGTGTATCTTCTGTTGTAACCACATAGTTATAGGGTCCTTACAAACTGCTTTAGCTGGTAAAAGTTCAACAGTTAAAATGTGTATTCTGTTTTTTTGGGGTTTTAAACAAATTTTTTTAAGTACATCAAAGCCTCGGATTAAGTGACAGAACAATCCATCTAATTCCTCCTACATCCTTGAAGCCCTGAATGTCACACTTTGAAAGCACACATTCATGTTCTTAATAGCAAATATACAATATTGTGGGTAATTAGTGCAGTCAATATAGTCTCAGAAAACAGTGTCCTGTTATATTTTGTAACTTCTCAAAGACTGAATAAGAGTGAGGGCCTGAAGAGGATGGTGATTGTTCCCATACAGTGCCAAGCTGGAGCACTAAACAGTGCTGTGGGTGTGAGCAAACACAGGTCCAGGCTCTGGCAAGAGCTTGCACCTTCTCATGCCAGGCTTTGGCAAGCAAATGTTTTCTTAACTGTTGTTTACTTTTCAGCTTTGTGCCATGACAGGAAGAAAATCTGAACTATGAGTAAAAGAGGCTTGCATGGTTGTTGCAGCTGGGGAGAAAAACGTGTTGGTCACATTAATGGGAAGCCAGGGGATAATGAGCACAACTCTGACCATGTACCTGGCACTGACAGCACAGAAAAAGAGAGCATAGGCTCCCCTCAGGTGATGGGAAAGGTCCTGTCAGCAGTCAGGTAATTGTCTTGAGCTGTTATGGAAAGAGATTGTTGGTTTTATGGGATTACTGAGGAAGAAAATGGGATTCTCCCCTTCATATCTTTGCATTTCCCTTTGTAAAGCTCCGCTGTGCCATCCTTTTTAGCCAGGAAAGTGTATTTCTGTAAAAGCCTGGCTGAAGAAGAAATCTCCAGTCTGCATTTTATGACTCTCATCGAGTTTGTCTGATCCAGGCATTTGTTGCAGCTCTCTGCAGAGGCTTTGCTCACTCCTTGTTCTGCAGGACACCTATTTGAACTGAGCATGAAGGGGTAAAGCAGCACAAAGATTGAATTTCAGAGATTCATGTGTTCTCAAAAGCCTAATGCCTACTGTTGCAAAGTAATGCTAAAATATGTCTGTAAATGGTTTGGATATGCAATCTTGCTTCTGTGATTTCACAGGTTTAGTTGTGGCACTCTTCTAAAGAATTTACATTATTGATAGAAAGTACTCTGGTATGTTTGAATGAAGGGCCTGAGAGTAAAATTATTGAAGGTACCTAAGTGATCTAGGCTATTAATTTCATTTTCAAAAGTGAATACTTGGATGCTTTTTCATCTGCTGTCCTACATCTCCGTGACGTAAGAATCTGGGGTGCTTTTTTCCCAAAATCTTATGAGTATTGTGTGCTTGAGACCATATTAGGCTAATTGTTTAACTTCAACTCTGGAAAATATATCATTGAATTTAATTTGGGAAGGGGAGCTTTCATAAACTTCTAATCAGTGACATGTTAAAAATAACAATATCACACAGTTTTGCTGGCACAGAGGTGATGAGCATCAATCAAAATCAACCATGCTGCAATTTTGTGTTGTAGGTGTAGATATTGGTGATTTCTTCTTTTTAGCAATTAGAGTTCTTTAAAAAAAAAAAAAAAAAAAAAAAAAAAAAAAAAAAAAAGCAGAAGGCTTGTTACTTTTTGCCATACATTTTTGTATGCTTTACTTGATATATGCTGTTGCTTAATTTGTGCATCCCATTACTATAGCAGTGCAGAGCAGTTACTGCAGATGCCATCATCCTCTTAAGTACACATACTGTACATTAAGCCACATGTTTATTTTATGGCCTAAGCATTTTAGAGCTTTCCTAGCAATAACTAAAAAAACTAATGGAGTATAAATGAGAAAATTGCCTTTTTCATTTGATAATTTAGGTTTACCGGGATTCTTTTATCACTTTAGCTAACACAAAATTTCAGATCAGGGCAGATGAGATCAGTTTGAGCTGTATCAGCAAGTGTTTGAAGTAGATTTACTGTGAGGCATGTACTGCAGCTTTCTGAAAATACAGGTGTATGCAAACAAACTGTCCAAAGAATCAAAACTGGGACATCCTAAGCCAAGCCCTCTGATTACTGGGTGGAATTATTTTCCAGTGTTAGATGCTGTGCCATCACCCACTGCCAATGGGCTAATGGGGTTTTACCACAGATTTCTGCCCTGGGATTCATTAGTGTTTGTCTCCTGACTGTCCCCGTGCATACCACAAACATGACTGACAAGCCTTTCGTTGCACTTCAGGAATATTTTTTAATTGTTCTTTTGCAAATATTTGCATTTCATAATAGCAATTTCAGGGTGATCCCTATTAATTCACAAGCAGCTGAGTGTGGGACTTCATGCTTCAGAGTTTATTTAGCGTAGATTAGAGGGCATTAATCTTCCCCAAGGCTAATGGGGCAGGAATGTATTGTTTTGCTCATCCTTGTGGAGCAGTTTACACAACAGAAAGATGCAGTCTTACTCAGAGGGTTCGAGTATCTCCCACTGACCGTCATCGACAATCCTGTTATTTCAGCCATGTTTTGTACAGTTCTTCCACAAAGAGGTGCAAGGCTTATTCTGTTGACTGTAAACAACCACACAGAATATTTCATCTGTGCATAGCACACTGTTCACACCTCTCAATAAATGCCCTGCTTCTGGGGGTGATAATCTGCTGCAGGATCAATTAGTGAAACGCAGGTTTCAGTTGCACCAGGGCAATCTAGAGGGATCTGACTATCCATTTCCCAGGAAGATGCCAAAGCCATGGATGAAGCCACAGAGATGGATTTGCCATGCAGGGCAGATATTTATTTTCACTGCAGTTAACTTAATCCTTGTGATCTGGTGAAGGAGGTTACTGAGGCCAACCCCCAGTCACTTGCACTAGACGTGGGATGCACCCCATGTTCACTGTCAGGTTGAGCTGAGATTCTGTCTGAAGACCAGGATCACCTGAGAGCTCAAAGTCAAATGAGACCCACCATCCTTCTCTGTTCAATTTTCTGCTGATCTTTAGTAAACTCATTGCCATTGAATCTGGGGATGGTGCCTGACTTGGCCACAAACAGCATGTGTTTAATATTGGACACACTGGCATTCTTGAAAAACGGAGTGTACAGGTTCTGTTTGTGTGCTTGAAACTTCAAATTACATTTTAGGGGGTGACCTGCAGGAGGGCAATTTAACCCCTCTGATCCTTGCTGGACAGAGGCAGAAATCCCTGTTTTCCCACAGGCAGCACACACAGCTGCTGTCCCTGAGCAGGGCAGGGACCTGACCAGACCCCTGCTGATGCAGTCAGTGTGCCCAGATAGGAGGGACAGAAAGGTGGCTGTCACCAGAACTGGTATTTCGCAGGAGTAAAAGCACAGTTGCTGTCTCCAGCCTTTGCCCTTGCCATGGCATGGGCTGGGACTTAGAGGAGTGGAGAGGCAGGACAGCACCATTCCCCAAATCCCAGACACTGATGTTCAGCCTGAGGCACCGGGCTGAACAGTGCGGGGTTTGCTGTTGGCTTCAGGTGTTCATTGCTGTTGGCCACTGTCGCAGGACCTGCTGCAGCCCAGGTAAATCCCATCCCAGTGGAAGTCCTTGGCCAGGAATGAATTTCAGCAGAAAATCATGAATCCAGATCTCAATCCAGTAGCAAAACAAGCCAGATTATTTTTATAGAAGCTACTAAATGTTTAACACATTTCAAAATATTTTTAGAATCTACACCCGTGACTAAACCTTGTCCCTGTCTCCAGCATGCATGCAGAACCAATCCCCATCCATTCCCAGGGGAATGACAGCTATAGTACCTGTAAGGAGTTCATGCTTTATTAGTCAAGTGGAACATTAATAAAACCTGGCCCACTTCATAATTTCCAGAATAGTCATTAATTAAAAAACTGTTTATTGGAACAGAAAACAAGTATTTGATTAGCTTTGTTACAGAACAATAGCTCTCCTCATTTTTATTCTGCATATTTTATTCTTTCTTTAAAAAATTCTCTTAAGAAGCATTTGAGATAATTCGCTTTTTAAAACTGTACAGTTTCTATGGTTTTGCTTTTTAAATGAGAGTACACTTTGTAGATTTGATTATTATATTTTTCTGTTAATATTACATTGGGCATTACAAAAGCATTCCCCACCACAGTGAAAAGAAAGTGATCCTGTTGGTTTATCGTAAAAGAAAAAAAATAATTAAAACAAAATTGCAGAGCTGTGGCATATTCAATCCAATTAGAGCATGACTCTTTACTACTTTTCATTTACCACATGAGAAAAAAAATAGTTACACCAGCAAGATTTCATTTGAAGCTGTTCATGCATGCTGTTTGTACTGTATTTGATGGCATAATATTGTTTTGTTTACAACCTTTTCTTTCTCGTCATTCTATTATATTCTTTATATGTATATAGTTAAAAAAAAAAGATTATACAAAGTATTTTGTTCTACCTCTGTAAAGATCATATTTGTGAATAAAGTCACGTTGTCTGTGGAGTATGGTATTGTGCATACAGCATTAAAAGCTGGTGCTTTGCTTTTATTTGGGGGTGGGAGCGGTGCCGATGTCTCCTGCTGGAGAGGGGGGGTCTGGCTATCCAAGGTGGGAACAGGAGGCTCACAGGGAGGGGCACAAATGCCTGCTGATGGCTTGGATATGCACATTTCATCTCCTCTGAAAAGAGTTTGCAGCCAGCTCTGGCTCAGGTGTGTGGCCCTTAATACTGCACCTTACAGGATTTGAGACAGATTCCTGTGTTCAGGTCAAAAATGAAGCAAAAGAATCACAAAGTTACAGGGACACTCCTTGTACTGCCAGGAAATGGAAAAAGATTACCTAGAGCCTGTGCCACAGAGTGTACAAGTTAACAAACAGATTAAATGGAACCTGCTTCCAGGAAAATTAAAGGCAGGAAAATGTTTTTGGGAAGTCTGGTGGATCAGACCATCGCAAAATGACCAAGGAGTTATAGTTTTAAAATAGTAGAAGTTCATAGGAGTATTTGAACAGATAATGGAAACTTCTCACTGTTATATTAAATAAGGTTAAGAGGAA